TGGCTGCCGGCAAAAAAAACCAAGGGGAAGCAATGACTCCCCTGGGTCTTAGTGCTCAACTTTTCCCCTTTTCCTGGCCCTGCACACTCTCAGAGGGGACATGCTGTTTTGTTTTATTTTATTTTATTTTTTTTGCTCCAGTAACTAAGGTCTCCCTTAGTTTGCTCAATAATAAAGGTCTCTCTCCCCCCCCCCCTTTTTTTTCTTCAATAGAATTTTGGGGGGGGAGGGGAATATTCGGTATTTTTGTTTCAACCATCTGGGAGCCCTATCCACAAATGCTGCTGTTTATTGACTAAGCCAGAAAACGTCTGCACGCCTCACCCACTGCAAACAAAAGGGCTGGTAAAAGCAGTGGTTGGAACACACCGTTGTGGGGAATTGATGCCCTGCCTGTCGTGTAAAGAGCAAGTGCGATGAGCTAACACTTCCCGAGGGAGGGAGGGGTGCCCCAAGGTAGGATGCCTAGACAGCCCCTCGCAGATCAGTGCCAAGACTCAACATATTGTTTGCTTGAGCTGAACACTTCTGGCCAGTGAGGAGCATATTTGATGCCAGAGAAAGGACTGAATTAACTCCCCAGCGCTGTGTGTGCAACACGCGAGGCCGCAGGGATACAGCAAAAAGTCGGAACATGCAAATGTTTCAGCTTCGTGGTAGGATGCCTAGACAGCCCCTCGCAGATCAGTGCCAAGACTCAACATATTGTTTGCTTGAGCTGAACACTTCTGGCCAGTGAGGAGCATATTTGATGCCAGAGAAAGGACTGAATTAACTCCCCAGCGCTGTGTGTGCAACACGCGAGGCCGCAGGGATACAGCAAAAAGTCGGAACATGCAAATGTTTCAGCTTCGTGTAAAAACCTTCATCCTGGTACTTTTCTTTCTAGTGAAGGGAAGAGGCTCTGGAGCCAGCAGGACTCAGACCTTGGCTTCTCAGAACACACCTGTGCAGAGCAAGTTACCAAATCTCGGCAGGCTGCTTTGAAATGCTCTCAAAGGCTGAATAAAAGGGAAGTTATTCAAGCTTAGGAAAGTGCACATGCCCCACTGAGGGCTGGCTCAGTGCCAGAAAAAGTTCAGCCACTTTTAAATGAGACTGTTTGTTTTTACAGTTGGATGAATGCGGCCCCTCTCCCAGAGCTCCGGAGGGCAGATGGATCCCAGCTTTCCCCTGGAGCCTGCCCCAAAACCATTAATCTTGGGGCAGAAAGTTTCACTCCAAACAGTGACTGTTTGAAGCGTGCCGAGTGCCTGAACGGGACGCTAAGCGAGGGATGGTCAATTCTAGTGCTTGCTCCTGACATGGTACCAAAGGAAGGGCTACAACATTGCACTGCTCTATGGCCGTGGACCGTAGCTAAGTTCCCAAGGGCCTGTACAATGTGGAGGGGTTCTCTGGGTTTCCAAGGTCCCCAGGCTGCAAACTGTCAGAGTTCCAAGTTGGCGTGTGAATGGTCAGTTTACACGGAAGGATCTCTTGCCTGGCAGTGCAACACACGCGCTCGCACTCCCTTGCACTGCATTTAGACCAATGGGTGTGCTGCCTGGCGGATGGCTCAGGAGTCCTGTCACTCTGCTGGGATGGGTTTCCTGCTCTGAAAAGGAGACTGGCCCAGCTGCGGCAGGCACTGTGGAAGGGACCCCAGAGGAGAATCTCTGCTTGCCCAGCGGGGCATGAGCAGTGAGAGCTGCGCACAGGTGGGCGAAGGGAAAGGTGCCTGGATCCCCATCCAGGCAGCGAAGGACAAGACCGTGCGCATGTGAGCCAAGACCGAGGGTTTCCAGGTAGGTTTGTCTGTCTGATCTTGCGGGCGGGGCCTCGCACAGCATGTTCTCCTCCCCTCGTTTAAGGGTCTACCCCTGCCCTGCATGCCGGCCTGACCTTCGCCGACTCAGGAAGTAGCTACACTGCAGCGGTTGTGCGGGGAGCTCTTGTTCAAGGAGAGGCTGGGCCTTGCAGCTGGCCTGGGAGTGGCTGGAATGCAGCCGCACTGCATGTTTCTAGCCCGCAGGGCCACTGAGCTGAGCAGCTGTCTCAGCAAGCACCTGCTGTCAGCTCCCTTTGCCTAGAGCCCCTGCAAAGCTGTGGCCGCGGGGGGCACGTGAATGCTCCTGCTGAGGGCAAAGCCACCTGCTCTACACGGCTCCTCCTCGTGCTGTCACTCCCCCTGCCCTGCTGGGACAGGGCCCGCACTGCCAGTGCAGACTCGGTCGCCCCTGGACCCTGCTGGGCGGTGCCTGAGTGCCCAGGAATGTGTCCCTCCCTGCGGAAAGCCCCAGGACTGTCTGTGCCATTTCCTGTTGGCTGCGGTGACGAGCCCATGCAGCAAATGCCCA